AAGTTTAAAAAATAAAAAATGGTTCTCTGAGTAACCACAATTTTAAAATACGAATTAAGAAAACTCAATGGAATGATTTTTAAAATCTTTTAAAGCTCAAACTGAAAATCAATTTTACAACACTTTTACAATTAAAATATAACGTTAATTAGAAAGGAGAATTGTTCGCTTATTATATTAAAATTCTTAATAAAAAGAAACAAAAAATAAAGAGCAAAGAAAGAGAATAGAGATTTAAAGAAATAAAATTATAATGTCAGAAAATTCAGAGAAAACGAAACTTCGGAATAAAGAATAGGAAATGTAAAAAAATTAACAAAAATTGTAAAAAAAAATAGAAAAATAACGACGTGAGACTAGCAACCATATATGTATGATGATTGTTCAGACTATCGCGTGAGATTAGAAGAAGAATATAAAATAAAATAAAAATAATAAAAATAATAGGATAGAAGTAAAAACTAAACAACTTCATTAAGAAATTGAAGCATGATAAGGACGTAGTGACTGGGTGTTTGCCATATTTTATTAAATATGACGACACTATACTTTCTGACAATTTTTGAAATATTCTAATATATTTAAAGACTATGAATATATTTCCAATCATCTTGATATATAATGCAAGGTATCTCATTTTAATTATCTCTGCAACTATTCATTATTCGAAAAAAATATTTGAAACAAAACTTATTCTATTTCGAAGGGAACATCCTGTGATACATGTGAGAATTGTCTAGGTGGTGGTATTTCTCAAGATCATTTGTACTTTTTTAAATGGGATTATATATATATTTTTCTGCATTAATTAATACAATTCGACATTCTCTACAAAAAGATATTATCCTATGTATGTTTAAAAGATATTTCAATTTTAATTTTATAAAATTTATGCATGACAGACAAGAATAGTATGAATGCAAGCTCTTCCTTCCTTGTCTTTTGTACAATAGATTTTACAGAATTGAAGTTAAAATGTCTCCCATTTTTCAACATACATAGGTATATTTCTATAAAGAATATTAAACTTTATCGATTAATGCATAAAAAAATACATGATTTTATGTAAAAAAAAAATACAGGAAACGCCTTCATTTAGACAATGAGACATTAAAATGAAACACTCTGCCGGTATGCTTTGAAACAGATAGTATACGATAAGTTAGGTTACTATTTTAATTTCAAATTCTTTTGCTGATAAAGCAAACATGAACTGAATGTTTTAAATTAAATGAATATCCCAATTAGAAATTCACTTCTGACTAATTGCTCGGATCTCCTCTATCCAATTAAACATTTGATCGAGAGTTTTTATAGTACACGATTGTTTTGTTATAATGTTGTAATAATTTAATATTGTAACTAAATATATTTCTTTCAGAAATACACAAAGAATGGATATTCTAAATGTGGTTGAGATATTTCCTTAGAATAATGCTTGTTGCTACTGTAGTAAATTTTCTTCAGATCTTGACGACTCTTTACTCTTTTTTAGCTCTTGACTTTTCAATTAATTATTTTTCAGATGTTAATGTATTGCATTCATCTATACACACGCTTTTTTGTAGGAGAGAGATATTTTTTCAATAAATTTTTAGCGGCTTTCTCCAATTTTGGCTTATATTTCTGCTTATAATTTTTTTTGTTTCTTTTTAGAAAAAGTAACAATTATATAACTTTTTCGATTTCTTCTATTGATTTCTTATTTTAGTAATAAAATGAATCTCTTACAGAAACAGTGGCGAAATAGCCAAAATTTGGAAAAGCTAAAAATTTACCATTTTTCGAATTGTCACATCGGACGCCTTAAAATAACATAACGTCGACGTGAACCGTATTAACTATGAGCAATAAGAATAGATAACAAACTAAATTATGAAAAAAACATTCGAAATTCAGTTTTGTTTTATTATACATCTTTGAGTTACGATTAGTGCCTATTTATGTAAATATATGCGCATACGAGAATCTATTTCAAATAAATTATATCTATTATGTCTTTGATTTCGAATGATATGTAACAGGCAGATTCGAAAAGAAATATAAAGCTTTGAATATTTTGAAGATATTGAAGATTCTATTATGAACTAATCAATTCGACAAGAATATAAAACTCGAAGAAATTGGCACTATAATAATAATAATACAATGATTAGAAAAGAAATGGAATGAAACTAGATCTGAGTGAGCAAAGAATCCATTATTACGAATAAGAGTAATTAACATAGTTAAACAAATGTCTAGTATTCGATGTAACACGATTTTTTACGTACCTCTAGATGAAAACTCTAAAATCTACACGTGCAGTGCAGTCTAAAATCATCTGATCATCGAAAGGGCCATGCCTTTTATACTTTTTTATATATTCATGCCATTGTTACGCTGAATTCGATACAAAATGAAGAGCAAAAGAAGGAAGGCACGATATCTAATTGAATGTAATAAATAATGTTTACTGAATATGGAGCGTCAAACAATAAGAAAGGCATAGGTATATAGCGATAAAAATGTAAGAAAGGGATCATACATATGTGTTATTATTTTGTGAATGAAAGAGAAAGGATCGCCTAATTTACCTGTCCTTTCCCGTCGTTTCGTGGCTCCGGCTGCGTTTCTAACGTCTTCGACGTCAGTTGTTGCCGATGCAATGTAACCGTTTGCTGTTTTCATCGTGGTTGCGGTGCCGCGACAATCAACCTCATTCTCCTGAGGACGGACGAGCATGCTTACCTGCTCGTTAGACCTGCGCAAGATCGTCTTACCGGTGTTAGAATCGAATGGACCGTCTATCACCGTTGTGATGATCGTTCCCGAATCTTCAGCCGGGAATACGTACGTCTCGTTCGCGATTTCTCTACCAGCTTTCAATGACTCCGCCGGCATTTTCGAACTCTTTATTATCAGAGCCGTCGACCTGATCACCTTCGGGCTCTTTTCGAGAGCGTTTATACGTTGCCTGACGACGTTATCGATGTTACGCCCGACTAATTCCTCCGAGCCTATTACTATTTTTTGACTGTACAACGGTTGAGGTCGGTTCTGCGTGCTCGTGGGATATTTCATTCTAACTTTCGCACGATTTGTGGTGGTGTTGAAAGTGATGGTGGTAGTGGTGGTGGTGGTGGTAGTAGTGGTGGTGTTGTGGGTGGCTCTCACATGCGTATCATTTTCGTCTACTGCTAAACGAACAGAAAGAAAAAGAAAAGACAAATCAACGATCTAAAAAGCCAAAGAAGCGTCGATTTTAAATTACTACTTCTTTCTTTTCTTTCTTCTTCTCTTTTTTTTTTTTTT